CTGGAAAGAGTAGTGATGGTGGTGGAGACCAGAGCAGGGACAGCGGGGGTGGGAGCCTGGATCCGTGCTGAGGTCTGAGATTCAAAATTGGGCTTCTGGAACCCTGGCAGTGTCCCTGCAGCCACATGGGGGCACCCAAGAGCTGCCTCTGGGATGGGCCCCCCCACCCCGCAGCCAGCTGGGAGGGGATCGTTGTCTGATCCCGCCCTCAATCCTCATCTTCCTGCCCAGGGAGGAAGGGCCTGCTTGTACCCCCCATTTTACAGAGGAGGGAGTCTCGGCTCAGGGAAGGGAATGGCCTCATCCGAGGACACATGGCAGGCAGACGTGGAGCCCAGTCTTCAGACTGCTATCTGTGGGCCCCAGAGAGCACTGTCTCTAGATGGCACTGGCCGGAGTCGGGGCCGGTGGTATGAGCTGTGTGTGGCCTGTGCCATGGTCTGGAGCCAGGATTTGGCTCTCACTCTGTCCCAGTCTGGACGCTGGTCCTTTCTGTCCTGGTCTGGTCAGTGAGTAGAGGGCTCAGGCAATGTTGCTGTGGTCACAGCTGCGGCTGCAATTGTTAATGACATCGATGTGTTATGGAGGGAGGTGTAGAGGGGGCATCTGTTCCATCCTCAGGGGCCATGACAGACTTTCCAGAGGTGGAAAGAGCTCAGGAGCCAGACAGGCCTCAAGTCCCTCTTGGCCTTGCCACTTCCTGGTAATGGTCTTTGGGCAAGTCACTTCTCCACTCTGAACCTCAGTCTCCTCATCTATGAAAGGGGCACACCCTGCTCATCTCATGGGCAATGAAGAGACAGTGTGCTGCCTGCTGGCATGTGGTAAGGGCTTGGTCAATGTTTCTTCCTCTGCAGAAGGAGGGGAGGTATGCAATCTGTGGGCTGTGTGGGATAGAGAGGGGCTTGGTTGCCAGCCCTCCGGGTGGTGTTGAAGAGGCTGACAAGAAGTGGGTGGGGCTTTCCAGCCCATGGACTCGAGGTGGGCGGGGCCGTGCCATGGTTTCTCTTGTAGCACTGAAGAAAGCCTGTATGAGGGATCCCAGTCTCTGGGCCCGCTTCCGCCGCTCGGGGCCTGGGCAGGTGCTGACGTATGTGCTGCTGCCCTGGACACTGCCCTTCGAGTATGTCTACTTCCGGAGCAGAAGGTAAGGCTCAGCCGGGGGTCCTGAGAAGGGTCCTCATGGGGGAAGGTACGGCTGGCCCACTGGGTGGGCAGAGCTGGGCAGGGTGGAGCCTGACTGGTCTTCCCATGCTGCCTGGTGCGGGCTGCATGCCCCAGGGCCTCAGTGGTCTCTGGAAAATGATCCTGATGGAGAGTCAGTGGGATGGATGCAATCATAAGCTGGGGTCTCCTGGGCAGCACCCTGGGTCCCAGGCTGTCTCTGTGACCATTGGCCCATTGTTCCACCTGTCACAGCCTCAGAAACAATGTGCCACTCATTTCTAAGGTAAGTCTAGGAGCTGGTCTAACTCAGATGAGCTGTGTGGCCAGGGCCGGGTCTCTTGATCTCTCTGGGCCTCACTTTTCTATAAAACAGGCCAGACTGACTGTGGTTAAGCCCACAGTAGCCATTCTGACTTGCTGATTAAACCCACCACTTATCACTGAAAACCTCCCAGGGCCGAGGCCTGGGAGCAATGGAGGCTGCTCTGACCTAGACTCCATTCCTGGCCTCATGGAGCCCACAGCCCACAGCTCACACACTCACCTGTGCAACCATAGCTCTGCCCAGAGACACCCACCCAAGAGAGGTCTACACTGGGGTTGAGCTGGTACTGCTCAAACTGGGGGCTATATGGCCGGGGAAGTTTGCCCGGAGGAGATGGCTTTGGGGCTATTATCTGTAGGATGAGTCAGAGCCCCCAAGGCAAAGAGGAAGGGAAAGCCTTCCAGGCAGATGGAACAGCATGTGCAAAGGTTTGCTGTTAGAAGGAAGTTAAGCTCATTTGATGAGCAGGAAGGGAGGCCAGCATGACTGGAGCCAAAAGGTAGCCTGTTTTGCAAGATGGGGCCAAACAGGCTTGCAGAGGCAGGCACACAGCTCTGTAGCCAGTTGAGGAGTGCGGTCTTCATCCTGAGAGTGGGGGCCGGTAGTGAAGGGTGTGAGCAGGGTGGCATCATGAGGAGGTCTGTACTTCAAATAATTATCTAGTCTCTGGAAGGCCTGTGACAGCTAGTCACAGGTCTCTGTCCTGCTCCACATTGAGTTAATGACTCAGTCAACCCTGCTGTTTAGATTGTCAGGGGTCCAGAGCTGGGAGAGAGCTTTCTATGATATAGAGTCTTCTCATGCCGAGCTATTTACTGAAAGCCCAAGTGGAAATCAAAAAGTATAAATGTAAAGTCTAGCCTTTTCAGTTAAAAAAGAATCTGTTGTGTGAGCATTGATTGGGAGCCTGTTCAGACCACAGAGAAGCTCACCTTTGGTATTTTTCATAAACCACATACTCAATATACAGGCTGCATGGGTAGAGACGGAAGGCCCAGAACAAAGGAGGTGACAGTCCAGCTTATGTTTTGCTTATCACACCACTCCCTCTGGACTGTGTGCCCAGTTTGAGCTCCTGGTTTAGGGGCCCCTTCAAGGGTGATATGGTGCAGGGTGAGGCCCTGAAGTGACTACTGAGACTGAGCAGGTGCCTGACCAGTGGCTGGATGACCTGGCTCACTGCTGACCCTGCAGGGCAGTGTCTCTGCAGACAGGCTCCAACTGTCCTCTGTGGTGGGACAACATGCAGTTTTGAGTATCCTGAATCTGGTGCTGGCTCCATCACGAGGGCATGGGGAACCATGGGAACATTTTGAGGAAGAGAGGGCTATGTCAGATGTGTGTTTTAGGAAGGTCACCAGCTTCTGAGAGGAGAGTGGACAAAGGGCTGTGGGGTAGGGAGTGCAGGGGCTGCTCCGGGGAGAAGAGAGAGGAATGGATGGAGATACGGAGGAGGTTAGGATGAGGAAACCAAGGCCTAGATGGGTTCCCTGACCTGAGCAGGTCATATAGGCGATCACATACTCCCCAAGCCAGCCTGAACCTAAAGCCCCGCCCTTTCCATCCCTGGGCTCCCTACCTGTGCCCTGTGGAGTCAATGACCCTAAGAGCTGGCTGCCTCCACCAAGTTCCAAGTCATTGTGGGTCACCCCACTGCTGTAGATACCTGTGCTTCTGGCCTGCTCTGCAACGGTGGCCAACACTGCCGGACACACCTTACCCCAGCCTGTGCAGCTTGGGTGCACAGACCCCCAGCTCTGCTCTGGGCCTGAAGGAAAGGTAAGCTCAGTGGGGCATGCACTGGGGCTTACCTGGGCGAAGCTGATGTGCCTCTTCCTCTAGGCTAGTGGCATGGCTGCCCGACATGCCAGCGGACTTGTGGTGGATGCAGGGCCTGCTTAGGACCTTGGCCCTCGAGGTCTGCTCCAGGACAAAGGCCCAGCTCCTTGGGCCGGTCAGGTGAGCTGGGCAGAGGGCCTGGAGGCAGAGGAGTGGGGGCAGCTGTGCCATGCGGGAAGATGCTGGCTGTTTCCCTGGACCCTGGGTAGGCTGGCCACACCATCTGCCCACCCACCAACTCACCTGTGTTCTTCTGGCCACCCACCCATGTAGCCACTGGCCCATGTGTCCCACTGTATGCCAGGTCTGTGATGGACACTCCATGTCTAGTCATGGCAGCATCTGCGTGACCTGCTGGGGACAGTCCCTATGTCTTCTCCCTCGAGGATCAAATGCATCTTCCTGCTTTACCAGATCCCTGACAGCCCTTCTGCTGTTATTCCAGACACCCCCATGTGACCTTGTGTGAGGTTGGCCCCCCGTGCATGGTCTAGGCTGGACCTGCCTGACCCTCTCCCCCGACCTGCTGCCCCTACTGGCAGGGTCCCCAGTGGTCCTCTCTCTCCCTGGTTCCTAGCCATCTGTGCACAGGAAAATCAGTGCAGCCCTCCCAGGCCCTTCCTGCCACCCCCAGCCTAGCCACCATAAGGGCTGCAAGTTCTCCCTTCAAGCAGGGAGAATAGTGACCTGGGCTGGGGCTGCACCCCAGAGCTGCCCTTCCAGAACCCCATGAGCTCATGAACTTCTGCTCCTTCCACAGCCTGCTGGCCACCAGCGTCCCAGACACAAGCTCCCTCCAGCCTGGGGCAGCTCCTTGCACAGACACCGCTGTGGAGCTCAGGCCCAACCAACAGGCCTGAGGGGGCCAGGCTGGGCCAGCTCAGGGACTGGTCGCCCATGACTCCTGCTCTGGCCCTCGTCCTGCAGACCCAAATCTGCCCCACTGAAAAGATGCCTTGCCAGCCTCTCTGGAGCCCCTGCACGGTAGAGCCGGTTCCCTGGAGCCGGGGGACCTCTGTCAGCATGTGTGTACTCAACTCAGGTCACATGTCATCATTCCTGCCCCATCTCATCAGGTGGAGAAAGGATGGCAACAGCTGAGACACACATCTCAGTTCCAGAATGTCTATATAGGACACTCGGAGGGCAGCAGAGCTGGGAAGTGGGTTCCTGTTCTGCCTGGAGCACTCTACAGAAGATGGAGAAAATGCCAGGGGAGCATCTGAATGATAGGGTGGGGTGTGTCTCCCCGGATCCTTTCTCTGCCCTGTGCTGGCCCTGCACTCAACTCACTCAGAAAACCTTGACCTCTGACTTCCTGTTGAGTCCAGCCGGGAGGCCCTGGCAGGGAGGAGGAGGGGGAGGACAGAGGGATCCAGGTCTCCCGGGATCCCAGCTGCGGCTGAATCCCAGTGCAGCTTCTGGTGGGCCCAGGGCCCTGCTGCCACCACAGTCTCGTTCCTTCAAAAGATCTGTGATGTGGCTGCCTCCCTAGGGGGCCAGGACAGCAGGCCTCTGCCTCCCCGGGAGCCACCACTCTTCCTGTTCTCAGGGCAAAATCACGCTGTGCCCTGGCTGGGCCCTTAGGAGACCTTCAGCCCCAGGAGAGGTGGGGAGGGTGGATGGGGGTGGCATGGGTGACAGCAGAGGGAGCAAAGGAACAAATGTGCAAACTGAAGAGACAGTGAGTTGTTCATTCATTCATTCATTTATTCAGCTTATACTTAATGAGTTATAGGCTCTGGGGACACAGATGTGAACAAAATTTACATTTTGTGGGAGCAGATTCTGAACAGCAAAATAACAGAAATATAAGATCCTTCCAGGAGTGGCGGTGGCTGTGAAGAAAACAACATAGGGTGACAATGGTGATGGGGGTGGCAGCCACACTGGACCAGGTGGCCAAGAAGGCCTCCCTGAGAAGGTGCTGGTTGTGCTGGAACTGGAGGGTGAGAAGCAAAGAGTTTTGCAAGCAGAGGGAACAGCAGGTGCAAAGGCCCTGGGATGAGAATGATCTGTTGTGTTTTGGGTGGCTGGAGGAGTCCACTGTGAGCCAGGAGGGAGATGGGTAGGGGCTGTGTCATGGTGAGAAGTTTGGATTTGGGCAGAGGGACAGAGGAGTGAAGAGAGAGTGGGCAAAAAGAATGGACAAAGGTACAGGAGGGGCAAAGGGGAAAACTTTTGGCAGATCTCCACCTCTGGGACCCACCCAGTCTGAGCAAGACTTTGCCCCTCCTGCTGCCTCCCAGGCGGGTGCAGGCGCAGACATTGCCCCCTGCACCAGGCAGGGGCTGTTCACTTTGAGTCAGGTGGTCCCCAGCCTCTGTGACACTCTGTCTGCACAGAGTAGGCTGTCCCCACCCTCAGGTGCTGAGTTTGGGATTTCTTCCCTCAGGGGAGATGGGCCACCTAGCCACCTGGGTCTCTGGGTGAAGGATCTAGAGGCCTTTCTCCCTGTCTTTTGTCCCTTGTCATGGACATGTCCCTGCCCACGGGCACTCAGCCTCCCTCGATCACCCCTCCCTCTTTACTTAGTGAAGGCTTTGGCCTGCACCATCTTTGTCCCCATGGCTTTGTTTTGAGACTTAGCCTGGGGAAAGACAGCTGGCCACTCCCACCTCCCTGTCCACCATCCTCCTGTGCCAAGCAGCATTTGGTTAAATGTTTCCAGCTTACTTGGTTGAACATCTCAGTTGCTTACAGCACTGTGCTTCTCTCCGATCTTTATTATTTGTGGCTCATGTGTCAAGGTCATCTGCGCACAACCTGACAACTGTAGAGACCATTCACAAGCACCCTGCACAGTGCTTCACGGTTTTTAAGCACTTTCCTGGCTTCTGTCATATGTAACACCTGGGTATTTTCTCATGTGATGTTAAAATCCAACTGCCTCTGGCTTTCCCATGATCCAAGCTCTGCACTCTGGGCCCACAAGTCCTGCCTATTCCCTCTGCCTGAGACCAGTCTGGCAAGGATTGAAAGGCATTGATCTGACCCCTCTGGGACTGCTTTCCTCCATGGTGAGCAGCTTGCTCCTTACAACCACTCCTCTGGTACATACCCAACCCAGCGATACTGCCCAGGAAGCTCTGGCCCCACAGCTCTCATTTGTTCATGTCCTTCTGGGACCATGGGGTCCAGTTGTACCCCAGAGGTGATAGTGTGGTAGAGAGGAGCTAAAAACAGTTAAAATTATGCCTTTCTAAAATTCAACCTGCAAGCTCCAAACCTGCTAGACAAGGGATGTGAGGAAACCAAATAGCCACAAGCTGCTTTCCTGTAAGTGCAAGATAGTAATCAATTCACAACCTTACCCCAGCATCCTCTCTTTGTAAAGTTACCAGTTTACAACCCCTGTTTGTCATGTATATCCTGGAGACAATTTGTTCTTTGAAAATCTGTTTTTGCTAAATACAACTTTGCAAATTCCAACACTCGACCCCCTCCCTTATCTAAACTAACATATAAAACCCCTCTCCTCTTCCTCTGGGTTGCTCAGTCTTGGAACATTAGCCCACTGAGTTGCGCTGGGGCTAATAAAATGCTGCTTAGCCTTGGTGTCATGTCTCTCTGTTTTTCTGCAACAATAGGACCAGCACTAGATCTAAATTGTCTTTCACTTCCCACCTCCTGGTCACCATCTCTAATAATGTAACCTCAGAATGAATGAGTTCATCTTGAACCACCCCTGTGGACTTCACTGAACCACCATCCAGCAACAGAACTAAGCCCCTTCTAGAGCCTGGAGATGGCCCAGCTATCAGACTAAGAGCCACAGTCCCGACTCATTACCAGGGTCCACCCGACACAGAGCCCTGAGTCAGTATAGAGCCGAGAAGGGAGCCTGGGCTCTGAATTCAGGCCTATCTGGGTTTGAGCCCCATCTCTGCAGCTCAGCATTGATGTGACCCAGGAAAATTCCCTTGCTCCCAGAGCGTCAGTTCTCCCATGTATAAAATAGGGATAATAACACACACCTCATGGAATGTTTGCTTGAGAAAATTGGGTGTTCCTTGTGGACTGCATCAAATGATAGAGATTGTGGTTCAGACAGAGGAGTAGGGAGTGAATTCACTATGTTCCGCCATGTGCTAGGCACCAGCCCTGGTGTGTCAGTGCTAGGCCTCCATTGAGCCTAGAATCAGCCCCTGGGTGGGGAGTCACCCAAGCAAACCACACAAAAGTCGTGATTGGAGTCCAGACCTGTGTGATATCAGAGCTCCCTCTGGCCCCTGCGCCTTGGTCTTCCAACAGGTCTGCTAAAATCTTGGGTCCACCACCCTCTACTTTCTCCTAGTGTCCCAGCCAGAGACCACTTTGGGCCCTGGACCCCAGGAGTAGCTATGGCTCCACCCATGAGCCACACTCTTGGGCTAGCTACAAGCCTCCCAGCCTGGCTTTGTGAGTGCCAATTCTCTGCTGGGTGTTTCCTGACGCCCAAGGACGATCCCTTCCCCAAGGAGCTCCCATGCCTCTGTTGCTCTCTCCATGGAGGTAACAGGGAATCTGACCCTCACAAGTACACACCACCTTGCAGTTTATAAAGCCTGTGATTTCATTTAATTCTCCCACAACCCTGGGAGGTAGGCATTATTCTTCCCATTGTATGAGTGAGAAAACTGAAGCTCAGAGAGTAGTTGAGCTGGAAATGCCCAAGTCTGTGCTCCAGGCACCAGAAAGACCCCTGAATGATCACAACTTTGTTATGTATCTGCTCTATGATGCTAAGTAAGTCCTTTCCATGATCAACTCTTAATTGCTTTGTCTTAACAGTCAGGGGTTGGACTAGTTGGTTTCTAAGAAGCCTATAGCTCCACTCTGAGCCCATAACATGTATAATTAATGTCACTGTGGTCAGGAGGAGGAGACATGATTTCAGGAGAGGAGTAGACACAGGAAATTTCTGAACTGGGTCTTTGTGGATCCTAGAATTTGTGTTGGCAGAAAATTCACTCTGAAGTGAAACTGCAGGTGCAAATGTAGGATGGGGTGACCCATAGTAAATCAAACAGACAAGGAATCTGAGGCTTAGCGAGTTGAAGTTTCTCGTCTCAGGTCACAGAACCAGTGAATGATGAAGTCAGCATTCAGACCCAGATTAAGCTGTGCCTGCAGCCTACCAGCACACTAGAATTCTTGATGAAAATATCAATGCCAAGACTCTTCTGTAGAGATTCAAATGTATTTAATCTTGACCTAAACTTATCTTGACAGGAACATGCTTGGAGCCTGTATTTCCTGGACACTGGTGTCCTCTGGGGCTTCCCCGTGGGCATGACTACTTGTCTGAGCTAGCATCGTGTTTCTCAGACTTGCTCAATGTCATCTGTGGCATGAGGGCTGGTATGTGCCAACTTGCTAGTGGGGTGGCCTCTGCCCCAGTTCTGTGTCCTGCCTACACAATTGTGTTCCCAGTCAGATGCCTCAACCCCTCTGAGCACTGCAACCCACACATAAATCTGATCATGTACTCCCACTGGATGTTTGGTTAAGGAACAATCCTTATTTTTAGGTGTGTTAATGTATTGGGAATATGTTTTCAAAGAGTTTTTTTTTAATCTCTTAGAGATCCATACTGAAGTATTTATGAATGAAATAACTCAAAACACGAGATTTGCTTCAAAATAAACTAGGTATATGGGAGGTGACGAAAAATGAGCAGTTGGTAATAGCTGACACTGGGTGATGGGTCCGTATATGTCCATGATACCATTCTCTCTATTTGTATATGTTTGACATTTCCATAACCAACAAATACTTCACCCTAAAATTTTGATATTATATACAAATAGAAAAAATGCCTCAAGACAGAACACGACAAAGCAAAATCAAGGACACTGGGAGTGGTGCTTACTCAGAGTGCCAGGCTGAGAGGGCAGTGGATGAGGGTGAGCTGTGCGCGTTCAGCACCGCGGACAGCGACCAGCGTTCCTTGCCGCCTCAGTAGCCTTGGGACTGGATTTCACACTGCTGAGAATTTGAAGATCTTCTAAATCCACCTC